TTCATATTCAACGTTCATGGCAGAACTTCAAGCTAGTGGAGCTCGTTGTAAGTTCTTAGCCTTATGTCAACTATGCTTTTTAGTAACTGCAACTGTACTGCTGCAAGTTTCTTAACAATGCTAAACACTATAATAACCTTGAAACATTTGGCTTTAATACTTGGGATAAGCAGATGAAGAAATAGACTGTAGGTTACTTCTTCTTTCCTTTTTTTGTTAACAGATTCTTCTGAGTTGCCTGTCTGATAGGATGAACATCTTATAAAACTTGTTCACTTACATTACAGTGTGCAAACAAACCATCCCCGAGTTGTCACAATCTGCTGAGAAAGCCATAGATACTCTCAAGAACCGTTATGCGATCCATTCAACTTCAGCTTGTTGAAGGCATTGGCAGTTTAGGTAATTTCTTTTGCTGTTTGATTGTTGTATCTATCTCAAAATCTGAACTAAGAATTATACAGGGCGATGAGTCTTTTAGTCATCTATCCTATATTTATGTTATTATATTTCCTGGCATATGGAACGTGAATTAGGAAATATGTTTCTTTCAATGATAGTAATCACCAGAAACAACATAGTAGCCTGTATAAGCGTACAAAATCGGGGCATGGGAAAATGCCTATAGATTCCTTTCTCCTTATCCGTATGGCCATATCCCATATGGAACGCTTGTTATGATCCTAGTTTGCTTTATACAGTCATCATAACTCCTGTTTTATTTTATCTATTTCTTGAAGGACTGTTTTAACTTAAGCAAAGAGTAGAAAAATGGAATTTAGCTCTTGTAAAAGGGAATATTTTTGACATATCAGAGGTAACTATTTGAAATCAGTACTTCCAAATCGTTAAGTTTGCTTGGCTCCTATGTAGAATGATCGTTTTGCACCTTTTCAAGCCTTCAAGCCATTGCTACCAGATAAAATTCCTTCATTTCATCCTCTAAATCATTTCTATACAGAAATTTGAGCACCAAGCCAGCATATATCCCTAAGGGTTGAAACACTGATTGATAATAAATCATCTTTAGCTGGCAGCTGGCCTTTTGAGTGGAAAAGCATTCATCCTCTCTATTACATTGACGCAAACATTTCGTTCTTATTTGTTTGGGTTGATCAATTGATTATCTGCCCGCCTGTTGTAAAACTTTGTCGTTTGCTTTTGCCTGACATTTTTCGAAACTCATAATTCATTTTTATTTGAGCTATATAATTTCTTGATAGGTGGAATCTAGTTTCTCTGAATTTCATTAACTAAGACGGTGTAGGAGACTAGGAGTACATAGAGATAGTTCAAGTGATTTTCTTTTGAAGTCCTTATAATAGAGATTTAATTCATGAAATTCTAACTCCTTATTGCTGTTATCTTTTTACAGGGATAATTTTCGAGTGAATGGATGGGAAATAGGAAAACTGAATCGGAAAGGTGTTTTGAGACGGTGGGAGTTTAAAATTGCAGTTTTTAGAAGAATATGCACAACATGCAAATTTGAGTGCTTAGTCTTGTAAATTCATATCTTCTAGATGCATTTACTTCCATCTTCCTGGTTCATCCACCCTTATATTGGCTTAACCTGGTAATTCTCTATTAGAATATTACTTTCTTGCATATGCCACACGAAGAGAAGATACTTGAAAAGAATGAAAATTGGAAGAGTTCCTTTTTTTTCTTATACTAGTTGCCTGCAACCCGTGCTCTGCACGGGCCCAACACTACCACAAATTAACACATTTTTTCAATAAGTAATCAAAGCTTAATTAACACCAAATAGGTGCTGCTACATGTTTTGAGTTCCAAAAGATACAACGTAGCAAAATAATAGATGGAGAAACATACAACAATTTCATATTGATGGTTCCGCAATCCATCAGTTGTTATTCCTTTAAGATTGTCCAGAATATACAGAGTATGCAGACAATTACAGTGTTCCAAACGGCTTATGTTTCTTTCGCGTCATCCTTCCTAGTTCCTAGCTAGTTGTTGGTAGCACCTCTTGGGTTGGATAGTTTGATTTGAGTCTAGCTAAGGTATTCAGCAAAGAGTATTGGAAAATTGTTAAGGTAACAAAACTTTTCTGATCATTGCACCTGAGAAATTGATGGAAGTCCATCTTCGAACATCTCAAATCATTTTCCTTTTGAACTCTCAAATTACCTGCCACTGCAAATGCTTTAGGATGATTAGAGTTAGAAGATAAACAACAAAAAGTAGGAACCGAATAGAAGACCTAAAAAGGAGAGTAAAAGTGCGTGTGGGTGTGTGTCATAAGTAACATCTAAAGTTTCTTTCAGTCACTCCCTTGGAATGATCTATTCAACCCTCGCTAGTGAAACTATCCTGATATGGACCCCCTTGTAACATAAACATATAATGGAGAAATTTATTGTGCTACCGTCTCATTCTATTAGCACGGAAGTATCAAGCATCATATACCATCTTTCTCCAATTATCCTTCATACTTTACAGGAAAGACAACCTCTTCCTTGGAGTTACCCAGCTAGTTAGATATTTATTATGTGAGCTTCGAGAAGACTCATAGCAATCTAGAAATGCATATGTTTGAAATTAATTATTTATGCCCCTTACTAATGTATGGAGAAATTTTCTTTGGAGAAAGAGATATTGCTCAGCATTATATTCTAACGTAAATATCCTTCTGTTAGCGTGTGAAAATATTATTGTCAGTTGATAATAAAATTAGAGCTTTGTTTACGTACCTTTTTTATGAAGCATTTCATTGCTATTTGGTACTTTCCCCATGGCTGTTGCTTACTTCAGAATACTACATTAAATTTTTTTTATACCAGTCTAATCATAAACTATAAAGAGAATATACTGTTTTAATTGAAATAACTCACTACT